AAGACTCTAGGAACACCCCGTTGGGAGGCAGGGTATATGGCCTCTGCCACCATCCATTCAGCGGGTGAACACTTACGGATCACCAACTATATGCGCTAGGACACGATGCTAGGTTCTAGGGAATCCAGACTGAAGTGGACCAGCTCAGTGCCACTGTGGAGCATACAGATATGTGATCAGATCTTTCCAATACCGTGGGACAAATGCATAATAAGTGTGACAGTGGAGCCATGTGTATGGTGCTAGGGAGTCAGAGGAGGGAGCCTCTAAGCTCAGCCAATCTGGAGAAGGCTTCCTGGAGGAGGTGACATTTGACAGAAGTGGTGAGCCATGAGTGGGGGTCACCAGGTAAAGAAGGCTTGGAAGGGTAATGGGAACTCTGAATCCAGTGCTTCTCCCATCCCCCACGGTTCTATCATCCTTCAGTGAAATCCTCCCAGGCTGTGAGAAAAAGAAGTGCTGTTTTTCAAAAGCGTACAGAATCATCCAAACACATCTGTATTTGTTTCAAATGGAAGTGACCGCTGCCCAAAAAACAGCAGTTGTTTTGTCAGAACCTAGTCTGTATTTATTCCTTTGTCTTTGTTTAATTAAATTTATCCCTCAATGGTTTCTTCTGGGACAGTACAGACCACTAGTAGCCATAAATCCCCTACATTCTAAAAACAGTATGAACGGACAACATGCGTGAGGCCAACTGGCAAGCCTGCTGTTTGTGGGACTGTTCTTCTGGAATGCGGCCATAATCCTGTTCCTACCACACTTTGCACCCTCACGTAGTGTCTGAGAAGGGACCGAGGATGGCAATAAACGTGAGATTTGTTTAAAGGAGGAAACTAAGTCTGGCGGGCTCAGTTAGTAAATGGGGAGAGGGATGGAGAGGCTGACTGTGGTTCTGGGCACCTTCTCCATGAAGGATTGTGAAGACTTTTTATCCAGTAGGTTCAATGGCTCTCAACCTGGCTGCACACTGAAGTTATCTGGGAGCTGCCAGCCTCCTAGCCCCGGCCAGTCTGATTTAAGGAGCAGGGTGGAGGCTGGGCATCAGGGTTTCAAAAGGTCCCCAGATGGTTCTAATGAGCAGCCGAGATTGGGCACTGCTGCCTCTGTAGATGGGACTTTGCAGTTGTTTCCAGGCTGTCTTGTGGGTATCCAGCCCTGTCCTGGATGGAATAAGCATTCATTGTCTCTCTCTACCTACCCTGTGGGAGGAAGTCTTTTGGAGAAAAGATCTTTGCTTCAAGGTCCTGGTTCATTGTTTTCGAAATGCTAATTTCAAAGGGGTTCTTTTGTAAGGCCTTGATTTTTTTCATTGTTATGAAAGTTTCTTTTATAAACTCTTGTGAGAAAATTTGTAATCAGATAGTTATAAATAAGAGAATAAAAGTCACCTAACTCCCATCACTCCTTCCTAACCACCGTTAGGCAAGGTTCTTGCTGGAAATGGAGGGGTGGCAAACTGGCAGCAGCTGGAACAGAGTAAGGAGTCCCCAGCTCCTGTCCCCCGCCTCCAGAGATGGGCTTGGGATTTGGGGGGTAGGTTGTTGCAGTGTGCTGGGCTATCATTTTCCAGCCATTGAGCCTCTGTGCAGACAGGGATGCTGCCCTCCCGATTAGGAAGCTTAGGGTCTAGCAAGAGAGACACATTGTTGACATCACTACAGAAAGGCCTGTGTAGTCCGCGTTGTGGCAAAGGCCAAGAAGGAGAAGAGCAAGGGCATTGACAGTGGATGGGAGGGGCCGAAGGCTCTGAATAACTGGTTATGGTCCTCATTTCAAGAGGTTAATTTTCCCATTAACGTGCAGGCTGCTTCAGCCTGCAACTTAGAAAACTACAGCTATTCCCAAACAAAGCGGCGACCTTCGTTTAACCGTGCGAGAAGTCCTTTGTTTTCCAGAGCTGAGAGAAACTGATACTTTGAGGTTTATTCTTCTAAAGCATGACTCAGGTGAAATCACCTGTCTACCTTTTGAAGGATTTTACCTTGAGTGGGCCCCACTGCCTGCTGCATTAAGTTCAGAGTGTGAAGCCTGTGGTCAGGCCCTCTGCCATCTGGTGTCAGTTGTCCTTCCAGTCCTCCCTCCTGCTACTTCCCTGGGAATTCTCGGGGTGAAATTCCGCTTCCGGGCCTGTCTTGCTTTCCTCCATTTCTGCACGCTTCTTCGCACTGGTCCCTCGGCCCACAGCGCCGTTTCCCTTCCTCATTCTCTCACACTTACCTGCCAGCCTTTTCCAGTCCTCTCTTGACTGGCAGTCATTCATTCCCTTTCTGAGCTCCTATTGTATTGTCATCATCTCTCTTACGGGTTTCTAGCATGTTCTGCTTAGTGTTTTAGTTATTTAGGGTGCACCTGATAGCCACTCTGGCCTTTCCAGTCTTCAGATGGGGCTAATTTGTTCCATCTTGGAACCGCTCCACTCACTGGTCCTTCAGTCAGGAAGGCCCCTTCCAGAGCTTCAGGTTACCAACCTTCCAACACAAGCCGCAGGACCACAGGACCGCAGGAATCCTGTGTCTGATCTGTCATTCCTGCATGCCTAGTGCCTGGGACAAAGTAGTGCTTCGTTTATTAAATAAATGAAAAGTATCGTATGATTTAACTTTTCTTACATCTCTGGCCTAGGGTTGTTAACTAACTGCAGGTTTTGTCATTCTTTAATTAGTCTCTATAATTTTTGCATGAGCCGAAGTTTTTTCTGATTATTAGTGTTTTCCTTATATCTAAATTCACTGGAAATCGCAATTGGTTTTCCCAACTGGAAATCTAGGATACAAATATTCTGGTAAAAGTTAAAGAAATTTACATCTATAATTTTTTTTCATCTACTTTATAGATTTGGGAATGAAAATACGTCTTTTAGTATTTTAAAACCAGAATTCTTATTCGTGGATGCTTAGACTTAAGCATTTTAAATGTTATGTTATAATTTTATTTTTTAATTATTTAATGCATTTTATAGAGATGATGAATAAATCAGTGTTTATATTTTTATCACTTCAATGTTTTATATTTATCTGAAAGCATAATAAACTATAAAACTCAGAGACCTAGGAGATCACTTTAAAGTGTAGCTGTTGGATTCAGTGATTAATCAAGCTTTCTAGTTAATTGAGTTTTACCATAGCTCAATATTATTAACTATAATAAAAAATATTAACCTGATAAAAAATTATTTTTAATATATTTAATCTCTTTAATGCTCTCTAGTTTTCTTTAACTTTAATGGTAAAGTTACTGGAAGAACTAGTTATGAAACTAAGCTATTTTCCTTGCTGAGAACTAATGTCATCATGTCAGCATGTTTCTGAAAAGGAGACACCAAATCAGTGATAGATTAAAAATGCCTTTAACCTTTTCATCCTCTGATATATTCTTAGTTCCACTGCATCAAGTGCATTCCTGTGAGTGCATTCTTACATTGCATTTAAATAAATATCCAGGGCTCAGCCCTTGTGGACATATAATAAATATTTGACCAAAATAGGACCAGCCCATGGGATTGCAAATTGGTACAGCCACTATGGAAAACAGTATGGAGGTTTCTCAAAAAATTAAAAATAGACATACCTTTTGACCCAGGAATTGCACTTCTGGGTATTTATCTAAAGAAAACCAAAACAATAATTCATAAAGATTTATGCACCCCAATATTCATGGCAGCACAATTTACAATAGCCAAGTTATGGAAACAGCCTAAATGCTCATCAACAGAGATCGGATAAAGAAATTATGGTTCACATATACAATGGAATATTACTCAGCCATTAAAAAAAATGGAATTCTACCATTTGCAAGAACATAGATGAACCTAGAGATTCTTATGCTGAGTGAAATAACTCAGACAGAGAAAGACAAATACCATATGATTTCCCTTATATGCGGAATCTAAGGAACAAAAAGAACAAACTAATCAACAACAGACTCACAAATATAGTGGACAATTTGGTAACGGACAGAGGGGAGAGGGGTTGGGGGACTGAGAGAATGGACGAAGGGTTAAAGAAGTACAAATTAGCAGTTGATAGCTGGTCACGGGGAGGGGGAGCACGGCAGAGGGAATGCAGTTAGCATTAATATGATGGCTAGGTGGAGGGCCAGGGGAGAGAGGGAACAATTGGGGGGATCATTTTATGAACTGTATAGACATCTAGCCAATGTACTGTATACCTGAAACTAATTTAAATAAATAAATTAAAAAAGAAAAAAGAAAAAAAATAGGACCAACCTGCTAATAGCCATACATCCATTTCTCCCTAGTCATCTTTGTTACTTCTACCTAAACTCCTCTGGCTTCCCATTTTCCTCATTTGTTACTAGCTGACTGAATAGAGTGCAAAGAGGATTTTCAAAGATCTATAGACACATGGAATGAGAAAAAGTATGTCCAAAGGGGCTAATAGAAGACTTGGGAATTAGGGAGTATTCTTAGGCCTTCCATGTTTTTGGTGGAGTTGCAGCTCTTTCCACTGTGTCCTCTCTCAGCTTCCCCATCTGCAAAATGTCAGACAGTGCCAGATTACCTCAGGACAAATTGCTGAGCCTGACTACAAAGCTTTTTGGTTCTCAAAGGGTAGGAATGATACTTGACACAGACAAGAGCAGATGCCTGCTCATGATAACTCAGTTTCCTCAAAATGTTTTCAGAGTACTTTCAGTGACATGGGAAAATACAAACTGATACGAATTTAAAATTATTTAATGCATTTAATAGAGGTGAATGATTTTAACTTGGAAAAATATGTTTTTATATATAAATAGGAACTCTACAAAATGTTAACAGAAGTTGCCTCTGGGTAGTAGAATTGCAGGTGGGAGCTTACAGGTGGATTTTCTTTTATAGATTTTTCCATGCTTTTCAAATTTTCTACTATGATCATATATCAATGCTTATAATGTTTTTAAAAGTTATTTTAGCAAGTGCTGTATTGTTGCTTGTTGCATGGCCCCATGCTGAGGGTCATTCAGAATTGTGTTCTAATGGCATGACTTTGCCCCAGTCCAGGATCTGTGTGCAGCAGAGGATCATGGCTGTGAGCAGCTCTGTGTGAATGTGCTGGGCTCCTTCGTCTGCCAGTGCTACAGTGGCTACACTCTGGCTGAGGACGGGAAAAGGTGTGTGGGTGAGTATGCCTTCCAGCCTTGCTTAAGGAAAGGGACAAGTTAAGCATAGTAAGGAAGGAGGGGGAGGACCCCGCGTGTCCAATTGCTCTCCTTTGAGTTGTCAACACAGCACTCAGTCCTCTGGTCTAGTTGTTAGAACTGGAACTTTAAAACCTTCATTTATGTCTGAGGTTAGCATTTTCTCATTCTGGGTCCTCGGCTAAAGGCCTATTTATTATAATCTGTGTAAATATGGTTGTCTGTTACCACAATCTTTGAAAGGACTGGGTGGATTTTCGTCAAATTTGGAGGGTATTTTTAAGATGGCTTGACTTAACTATAGCTCATGTGTTATATACATGAAGTTAACTTGGTGGTTGATGACTAGCACCTCAAAGACATGGGCAGCTGTCTTGGCACATGACTGCCAGGTGTAAGAGCCCAGACATATATAATAAGACATGATGGTCAGAGAAAACAAACAGTAGCCTCAAACACAAGCCCCAGCTAAAGGAGCATCATGGGCAGTGCTTGGAACTGCAGGCACCAACTTGTAATGAGTTGAGTAGTGTCCCACTTGGGCGGTTCCACATTGCGTGACCCGGTGAGAGGTAGGAGAGGTGGGGGTGACATCTGATATCTTCAGTGATGGACAGTGGTTCTCTTCAGCACTTGCAGAGCAGGCCCATCCCTAATGCACCTCCCATTTTGTCTACAGAACCCTTTAACTTGCACAGCCTCATCCCTCCACCAACAAAAAGTGCCTAACAAATAGTGTTCAATAAATGGGACTGGAAACTTAGGCAGAAAATCTGGAAGGAAGAGGACTCGACTGATAGCAGAACTAGAACTTATATTTTCTGACTCTAAATCCTGCGTTTTCTGTTCTACATTCCATTGTTTTCAATGGAGCCTAATATTTCTTGCTTCCCACAAACAGTGAATGGTTTTGTTTTTTTTTTCTGCACATAGAATTTACATTTTCCAGCACACCCGGAGTTTAGCTAAGGACATGGAAGGAAAAAGCAACACACATAAACTGTAGGTGGTAGCCCGCTCTTTGCAGGTGAAGAGTGAGAGTATCACGGCTTTGTTTGTTTTTACATACTTATGGAGATGAAAACTGCCCTCATTCGAGGTCAACACATAGAATTGGTCTCCTGAGCATTAAAATTGTTTTGTTTTGTTTTTTTCCTTAGTCTGCTGGTGGTGACCGTGATAGGTGGCAGGGTACATCTACTAACACCGGCAAAACAGAAGACAGCATAGTATATATCAACCAACTCTTATGATTTTTGCTTCATTAATTTTTGTTATATAAGTAATATACTCTTTCTGATGAACTTAAACAGATGAGAAAAATCACTGTTAATAGTTTGTTATCTTTTCTGCCAGACTTTTCCGCATATAAAGATCTGCCGCAAAATATTTTGTTAATGTTTAACAAAATGAGATCATACTATTTATTTTGTTTCACATATATTTTTTTCTCTTACCAGTTGTTAAATGGGTAGAAACTTTGGGTACTGCAGAGTCAGAAGGAAATCAGGCCGTTGGGAGTAAGGCTAGTGGATGAGCTTTAGGAAACAGGATTAGAGTGTCTGGTAGATGAGGGTGAGGGAAGGGTCAGGGAGAGTCCAGAGCTTACGTGGGTGACAGTAAGTAGATAGGGCAGAGGCAGTGGAGGCCAGGCTGGGGCAAAGGACCTGCCTTGGCCTTTGGAAAACTGGCAGGCAGTGAGGAACCTAGTTTTCTGAGTGTTGCCAAATAATTGCCTAATTGTCCCTATGTAGCAGAGAACCTTTTTGTCTCTAAGGGTTTTGCTCTAACTTCTGGAATTTGACATTTATTGAAGAACAGCAAGCATAAGAATAGATGCTGTGGTTGCCAGGGAGCTGTTATGGGCTGCGTTTATTAGAGATGGGTGTTTCTCTTGCTGCTGTTATCAGCAAGTAAGAATGTCTGCCTTTCCTCAAAGGAAGTGGAAGTTTCCAAGCGAGAGTGGGCAAATGGAAGAGCCTGTGTGTGATCCGGGTCTTAACATCATGTGTTCCTATCATCATCTTCTTCAACCAAGAGCCTGACCTGTAAGAGGCTGAGAATGAAATATTAAGCAATGGTGGACATTTATGGCCAGTTACCTTGGTTAGAGAAACTGAACAAATTCTCAAAAGGTCAGTTTCTGCTTTATGAGTCTGTGCTGAGTGCAAAGCAAATGATAGAGGTAATAGAGACTATAGGAGGTCAGAGAAGACGGACATCCTAATGGCTGGAGTGGGGAAGATCTGGGCAAACAAGGAAGGGTAGCAATTGATCAGATGTCCAAGGCAAGGGGAGACGTGAAGAGCAATGATGGTGTGGAGGTGGCAGTGTTCTCAAAGCTTAGGGCCTGAGCCTGGGCTGACGGAATGGGCAGGTCTCGCTCCTGGGAGCTGATAGATTAGGAAGAGACTGTAACAGAGAACACCAAATTAAAAGCTAAACAGGCAGCCTAACCTGAGGATGTAAATCTGAAGGGGCTTGGCAAAGATGGAGACCCCAAGTATCAGATTTACAGCATGAAATTGAAAGGAGAGCAAAAGGCCGATGGAGACCCTGGAAAAATTCCATTAGCAGCTGATCTGGGTGGCCCGTATGTAGACAGGCAGGGGAAGTTAAGAATGTGGTGACTACAAATCCCAATTAATCCACGATGATCCTAGTTTTTGCCTGTTGGCTCAATTCTCACTAGCACTCCCTTTTACTCTCAAAGGGGTTCTAGTTTGAGGATAAATTACATGATCACCCTAGATAAGGCTGGCCAGCTTGACTTAAACAGTTGAGGAGACCAGCTCTGTTGAAACAGATAATTTATGCAGGTGTAAAGAAAGCGATAAAGTTTAAGACAGCAGAAGGAACCAGACCGTTCAGGGCTTTGAAGAGCAGGCTAAAGAGTCTGGACTTCGTCTCTGAAAAGGAGTTACTGAAGGACTTGTACTGGAAGTGACAAATGCAAAGCCTCATCTTAAGGAACTTAATCTTGTGGTAAACTGCAGGATGGATTCAAGGAGGAAGGCGGTGAGAGGTGGAAAGACCCGTTGGGAGATGATGGCAATCACCAGACGAGGTGACAAGAGCCAGGGTTTGAGTAGCGACTGTAGGAATGGAGAGGGAAGGAATGAGGGTCGAAAGAAGGTGCTACAAGTAGGGGAGAAGGAAAAGTCACAACTGACCCCTGAGTTTGAGCTTCCATGACTCTGAGAGTGATGGCAACAGCGATGGAAGAGTGATGAGAACCTATCTTTAGGAAAGATAATAAGTAGTTTTAGATCAGGTGAGGGGGAAGTTGAGGTGGGACATCAACAAGGACAGGTGAAGAGGGAGCAGAGAACAGCCCCAACACAACAGGGAGAGATTAGCATCAATGACACCGAAAGGAAGCAGCATAGTTCATTTCTTTCTAAATTATAATCTCCTTCTGTTTTTCATTTAAAATGTCATTTATGTGTATTTTTTGTTGTTGTTGCTGCTGTTTTGAAGGCATCTGGACCTTCAATACAGTAAGACCTGGGCTCAAATCCCAGTTCTGCTATTTGCTAGTCATGTGTCTTTGCGTAAGTCATTCAGTTTCTGCAGTTTTCTCATCCATAATGTAGAGTAAGAGGATTTTTGTGGGATTAAATAAGATAATAAGCAAGTTCCTAATACACAGTGGGCAATATTATTATTATTTATTATTATTATTATTATTATTTTACTACTACTACTGCTTCTGCAACAGAAATTATTATCATTTCCTGGGTATCTTGAAGTGTGGAGTGAGAGGAGTGTGAAGGCCTGAGCCTTGGGTTGTAGCCACATTTAGGCAACAGGAGAGAGAAGTGGGGGCAAAAAAAATATCCATGAAGAGCCTAAGGTGGGGAGGGGGCTTGAAGGGGTGGGAAAGAGAGAATCAGAAGAGTCGTGGAGTTTGGTGGGGAAGAGGATTTCTAGGCCGTGCCAATATTCATTTCACGCTCCAGTGAGGCCAAAGGGAACAGGACTCAGAAAAGCCATCTAGTTGTGTCATTGATTCATCTCAGCAAACATTTCAGAACTCTCTGCTAGATACTCTGCTAAGCATCAGGGACACAAAGATGACCAGAAGATAATGATCGAGAGGGGCAGGGTAAAGGGCAGATTTCAGCGGGTAGGGAGTGGGTTATGAGAAAGTGGGGCCAGGACATCAAAACTCTTCATTGAAAGATGTTTGGTAGAAATTCACCGTGTTCAGCTCCTGGCTGATGGATGCAATGGGTTCCACAGCAGTGGTTCTAGTTCTTTGACTCATCCCATAATTATGATGTGACCTGCCTGAAAATCCAATTCTTAGCCAGATCAGGACCCTTAGACAACATCCCCACCCTTTTGAGTTAGTGGAAGATTCAATTCAATGCCAGTCCCCATCTCCCTGCCCGCTCCTTACACTCTGGGCAGAACCAAGCCTTCTTCCACATTCGGGTGAACAAGGGTGGATATTGACTAAGGGCCTCCTTTCGCTTTACTTGAGTCCCTGTATTTATAATCCATCAGCTGCCGCTAAAGCTGTGTTAATTTCCATCCCAAAGTGTACATTACAATTTTTTAAAATTTATTTTTAATTATAGTTGCCATATAATATTATATTAGTGTCAGGTACGAAACATAGTAATTCAACATTTATGTTCCCTATAATGTGATTACATAATAAGTCTAATAACCATGTCACTATCAAGCTACATTTTTCAAAGACCATTATCTATATCCTGGAGGTTGAGTTTTGTGCTGTACGTGCTCACCTGGTATTTACCAACAGCCTTGTCTTTCGGGGTAATGTTTGCATCATATCTGCCTAAGCAGATTGTAAACCCTTGAAGACAGAGGCCACTCGTACTTTTCTCCTTTCACAAAGTGGAAATGCAATACATTTTTCTTGAGTCATTGACTGAGGTTGAGTGATTGATTGCAATCTCAAGCATTTTAAAAATCTTTTCCCCTTGATGGGATTTTAAATTACAAAATC